TATCGATCTGTCTTCAATTAGTCAGGTGACTTCTGAGAAGAGAACTTAAAAAAGCGAGAAGATTATGTGGGTGTGTGCATGATATGTTGACCTTTGTTACCACATCTTTGTGGTTGTACAAGATACTATATGCTCATCTATCGTGTTCCTATGTCTGATTAGACTGAAACTTTTCAAGGTTTCCTTGTTTAATTTTTTGTGTAACCATTGTGATTAAGTATTTGGTATGGGTGTCCCTTTTTCAGCATCATTCAGCAAGCACAGAAGTACTATATGGAAGCAACTGATACCAGCGATGCAAGAAATGTATGACTTTTTTTGCTTTCACGTCTCACTCATGAATGTCCACTGACATTGATAGTCATGGTTATGCATCTGAGCATATAAGTGCCCTCTGTATTGGTTTTAGAGTATAGGAAGGGTGTAAATGTTTTACTTGTTAGCTACAACATTGAATTCTTCTGGTGTAGGAACATCATCATAGGACGACACGGTTGTCTTGGAAGCGTCCTGATAAAAAGGAAATCCCTCTTTAATGAAATTCTTCTTGTTTGGCAGATGGGTTTCAATTTTGCTGGAAAAGCTATTTACACTGCAGTGTGGGTTGCTGCAATATCATTGTTCATGGAGTTACTTGGATTCTCCACACAGAGGTGGCTGACAGCTGGGGGTCTTGGTACAGTACTTCTCACCCTTGCTGGTCGCGAGGTGAGCACTGTTTTTCAGTACATATGATTTTGAGGAACAGGGATTTAATTATCTGTCCGTGACGCTTTAGCCATTAACTTATTTGTGTAATGAATTCTATCGTTATTTATTGGTGCATTCAGATATTTACGAATTTTCTTTCAAGTATTATGATTCACGCTACACGACCATTCGTTGTGAATGAATGGATTCAAACAAAGATTGAAGGCTATGAAGTCTCTGGTACTGTTGAGGTACGAGCTTTAATTTTCTTATCTTAATCCAGTTAAAGAAATCATCTCTTGGGGACTAATTTACAAGTATTTTAGTTTTTCTTGGGGATAAGTGCACCGGATGTCCTAAAACTTGTCACGAAAGTGCAATTGAGTCCTTAAACTTCCAAAAGTGAAATTAAGTCCTAAAACTTGCTATGAAAGTGCAATCGAGTCCTAAAACTTTCAAAAAATGCAACCAACGAAAGGACTTGATTGGACTAATCTGACAAGTTTTAGGACTTAATTGCATATTTTGAAAGTTTTAGAACTTGATTGCACTTTCATGACAAGTTTTAAGACTCAATTGTACTTTCGTAACAAGTTGTAGTACTTGCAAGGTACTTGTCGCTTTTTCTTATAATTAACTTCTAATCATTTTGCTAAATTTGGAGAACACCAGCATGTTGGTTGGTGGTCTCCAACCATAATTAGAGGTGATGATCGTGAAGCAGTGCACATTCCAAACCACAAGTTCACTGTAAGTGTTGTGAGGAATCTTAGCCAGAAGACTCATTGGCGCATCAAGACACACCTTGCTGTTAGTCACCTGGATGTCCATAAGATAAATGTGAGAAAATCGTGATTCACCCACTGATGTCGATTTTTTTTTAATGCTTTAAGTTTTTTGACTTGTGCAAATTTTTGTTCGTACAGAATATTGTTGCCGATATGCGCAAAGTGTTGGCCAAGAACCCTCAAGTGGAGCAGCAGAAGTTGCACCGAAGAGTATTTCTGGAAAATATCAATCCAGAAAATCAGGCTCTAATGGTAATTTTTCGGCTTTAGTGCATCATCTGGGATCTAAAGGACAGTGATTTTTTGCGAGACAAATTCTCTTGTAAAATCATTAATCTGGCTTTTTTGTCATGAAACAGGCTGTTGTACTTTGCCAAAAAGAATTACACGCTAAATGTTTGTTAAAAGTTTGATTGGCATTTTCTTTAGTTCAAAGTACCCTGTTATCATTCTTTGAGGTCAATTTTTTTCACTTAAACATGATGAAAATGTTGATTTAACTTTCAGATGTTAAAAAAACTCTATATGTAGTCCGAGTTCCTTATGTTGTTTTGATATTGCTGCTAATAGTGCATGAGGACTTGGATGTGGCAATATTCAATGAAAATGATATAATCATCTTTCTCTTCCTAAATGCACCTTTTCTTCGATATTCTCTTTTCTATAGTCTTGGAGGGATGGATTACTGCCTTATCTTATTTTGATTTTACTCTCAATAGTGAATAAAGACTTGGATATGATATATCCAATGTGATAAATATAATTATTCTTCTCTTAGTTGATGCAACCTCTTGTACTATATTTCTTTTCCATAGTCAAAGGACTCTGGCAAAAAAAAAGTCTTGGCATGACGGATTGTGGTTGGCTTTCTTTATTATATTATCTTGGCAATAATTATTAATTTTGTACCTATTGTTTAACCTTTTATCTGTTGTCTGGGCCTGCAGATATTGATATCTTGCTTTGTGATAACATCACATTTGGAAGAGTATCTATGTGTCAAGGTAAATATACACCTATATGCCTATGCTGTTATGACTTTCGAGAATATTTGTCATGATACTGCCGTTCTTTTTGTTGTTTTAAAAAGATGTTCGATTGTCATCTTGTTTTTACTCTTTTGCAGTACTTGTTTTACCCAGGGAAATGTATATTTTTTGCTTATTCATGTTTATGTATAGCACACACCAAAGTATCATGAAATAAGTTTATTGAGATGAGTCCTGTAGGGTTTTATCCATTGTCCTTTTCCATTTGGAATAAAGAAAATAGTAACAATCCTGTTGAATTTTCTGCGTGTACCAATATTTTGTGGAAGTTGGAATAAAGAAAATAGTGACAATCCTGTTGAACTTTCTACGTGTGCCAATAAGTGCAATCCATGCAATCTTAATGCTCCTTAATTCTACCTGCCACTTTCTTGTAGCGTGGCCAATATTCCTACATGTCATGGGTTGCTATGGTTTTAATTGCAAACATACTGTACCAGAGTGTGGCTTTTAACTTTTGATTTGTTTTTATTCCAAATTATGCATGACAGAATTGTCCCACTGTACCTCCTTGTGGTAGTACTATTTCTAACCATAGCAGTTGCAGTTTTTTCTCTTCCGTTTGGTTTTTTAGCCTGTAGCGCGATATTTCTTTATTGGTTTTTGTAGGATTAGGATTCTTATGACCGAGTTTTTTTCATCTTTTTTCATCTTTGGGGGAACATTTATGTAATATATATTGTTGGCCAAAGACAAGGGAACATTGTTTATTTAAGTAAATTCTTAAATATAGTATATTTGGTTACTTTTATGCAATAAGGAAAATTGGTTGCCTCTGAGGCTTATATCTAGCTGCTTTCATATCTCAGTGAGCTGAAGATGTTTGTTATTGAATTTTGATTGTATATCATTTGTGTAATAAATTCTTGTTATGGAAGCTCTACTGAACATGTTGCAAACCCTGCAATGGAACAGGAAGCTATACTCTTGGATCTTCTCAGGGTTATCAGTCATCATCGTGCACGACTCGCTACCCCCATCCGCACAGTTCAGAAAATATACAGTGAAGCTGACCTAGAAAATGTGCCTTTTGCTGATACAGTCTTCACTCGTTCCAGAGCAGCAGCAAATCGTCCCTTCCTTTTGAGCGAACCTTCTTATAAAGTCAATGGTGACGACAAAAGTAAGGCCTCAACCAAGGCGACCCGTGCCGGTGAAGAAAGAGATACCAAGGCAGAGATGAACTCAAAATCTGACTTCAAGGAAGATTCAAAGGTTGGATCTACATCAACAGTTGACTCGAAAAAAGATGATAAAGTCAATGGACAAGTGACCTCAGACTCCGGCGCCAAGGTTTCAGCAACATCGGCTTCTGACCTTCAAAGCCAGATAAATACTGAAGCGCAGCAACTACTGAAGGAGAAAACATTAGAAACCTCAAAGGATGTGTTGAAAACGAATTCAAAGGATATGAATCCAACAGGGGAACCTTCAGAGGCTTCTGCAGTTGCTTCAACGGAAATTGGACGTGGAAAGGTAGATACTCCTCCCAAACCACCGAAGGAGGATGGAGAAAGGCCCATCGCATCAACATCAATGGCGAGGCCTCCCTTGGAAGAGAATATTGTTCTGGGTGTCGCTCTGGAGGGCTCAAAACGGACACTTCTCATTGAAGAAGAAACAATGCCGTCTGCTCCTTCTGAGACAAAGGAATTGGCTGCTCAGAGGAATGGTGGTGGGCCTCCTCCGGGTGGGAAGGAGAAGAAAGATGGTCAGATATCATCTAGTTCCTAGTACCAACCGAATTGTCTTAACACCACAAAGGAAATTGGTTAGGGCTGATCGTCTTACATGATGCTGTATGATTGATTGGAATGGTGCACAGAAGTGTATGCAGCTGTGTTTTTTGAAGGCTGCATATGCTGATACACTTCAAATTTGAATTAACCAATTGTAGTAAATAATCGATTGAATGAAGAACTTGTGGTCTGATCTAGCACATCTGACATGTACATCCCCCGTCCAAGCATTCACAGGTTTGCGCTTGACACGTGCCATATGCTAATGCGCGTTTTTGAGCAGAAACATATGTTCATATACAAGGTAGAGCTTTTATTGGTCTGTTTCCAAAGAAAACTGTTTACGAGGCACAGGGTTTGCGTCCTCTCATTCACCTTCTTTCCTTGTTTAGAAGAGCGACCACGATGTTTACCATCGTAGAAAGATTCATCTGACGCCATTTTCTGTTCCAAGCAGCAAGTTAGTCGGAGCTTTTAAAATACATGTCTTCTGTGGCTGAGGAAGAAAAGCCTATTGGAAAAATATCTCTTAATATCATCGCAAGCCCTTCGTGCCATCATGTCCATTTAATCTTTTAACACGTCCTGATTGTATGCACGAGTCTCTCGAGCCTCAATGTAAACTGTTTTTATCTCCGTGTTCGGGGGGGGGGGGGGAGAGAGAGAGAGAGAGAGAGAGAAGTCCATTACACTTGTGAGAAAATCATCTCAAGAAAGCCTATGGCAACAAGTAATAAGCTCAAAAAATAAACCAAGAAAGGGAAAGAGATCGAGATTACAATTCCATGTGGCATATACTAACGAGCTACTTAAAGATGATTCCGAGCAGACGTACTAATACATCATGATGCGGTAAGCTCTTAGAGATGGCACGAGCTATGTAAGAATCTACTCCAATCCTCTAAGCTTGGCACATACAATCAGGAGCAGGATACGTATATATGGACTGCTTCTCCTTTCTCAATCGAATATGTCCCTGTCTATTTTTATGTCCCTCGATAACAGCACGCTGGAAGTCCAACCATTCCATGCTTTTATTGAGAAACAGCTGCCCCAAAAGCGCCATGTTTGGCCTTATAGTCTTCAAGTTCAAGAACGCTCGATGTCCTAGCTGATGATGCCAATAAAAAGTAACCGCTTAAGTAGCTGATTTCACACCGAAAGAAAGTTAAAGGCACTACAGCTTGTGGAAGGAAATTTGCCCGAGTTCCTATTGCAGCAAAATACTAGACTTCTTATCAGGATTCTGTCACAATAATAAGTTAAATAAAGGGTTCGCTAAAATGCAGGGTCGCAAGAAGACAAGACATGGGTTGTCAGGTTCTTACCACAGCATTGTGCATATTCCCTGGAGAGGCAGAAATGAAGACATCGCTCTGCATGCTTACATAGTAATCAACTGCAGCCAGTAAAGAAGCCTTGCCTTTGACCTTGGCTCGCTCTTCTGTAGAGGAGAGACTTTTCTTGTCCTCCATTAGTGGAAACAATTTGCGCAAAGTTGAGATCCTTGATTCTCCACCATACACCTGAAAATTAACTGCCGCATCTCACTCCAAAGCGGACAAATTTTCCATCTTAATAATGCCCATAGAACACCCTATTAATTCTTGCCCTGAATTGGTTTAAGAAGCACTGACGTGCCTTGTAGATCACAACCAAAAGTTACCTTATGAGAAGCAAGATAAAGCCGTGTACTGTTGCTGAAACCTAAAGCCGCAAGCAGCAACCCAATCTGTTCAGGCGTCAAGGGACAACGGCCCTGATTCCTTAGTTCTTCATTGGTAAATTGGGAGTTCACCACCCTTCCCTGCCATATTACCTGACGGTACTTCGCAAGGGCCATTCTTTCAGCTTTACCCCCACCAAAATCACATGCTGAATGAGCTGCCATGTCCTGCAAGTGAAGTCATGAATTCAAACCAAGGCACCGGCACAGCTTTCAATCAGATTAGTTAAAACCCGACCAGAGGAAGTACCGATCTGGTGTCTGAGCAACAGCTCAATTGATTAGATCACTGTCACTTTCTACATGTTAAGATATACTACAAGAGGGTTCCAGGTGTCAAGAAGACAAATCTTGTGAAAAGACATTACTATTACATGTAATGTTTGTATTCTTCACCTATTCATTTAATTTTGTGATTTGATTTTTTTTTCTTTATGTATTTTCAATTTCCAAAATTCTCTTTTATTTAAATTCTTACTCATATAAAGCACAATGATTTGGAAATTGTGGTAAACTTTGTTAATAGGATGCAGTTACAGTAAAGGGGAGTGGCATCTCCTCATTTGGTGCTGCATGTCACTATTTTTATTGATCATACTCTTCTCCCCCATTTTTCATACGAGGCCGCTATGCCAGAGGTGACCTCGGATCGAGGCCCCCCAGGCATGGCGGCGACTCAATCCTTGAGACACAGAGACAATGCGGGATGATGACGGAGCAATGGAGACAAATCTGGGTTGGGTGGCTTTGAGGCGGCACTGGAGGGGGCTGGGTGAGTGGCCAGACACCTTGGTGGCGGGTGGCGGGGCTGTGTGGCTGAGGAGGCTAGAGTTTGTTCATTGTTGATTAGTGTTTGGATGTGGGTAGATGTGAGAACATGGGGAGGGTATTTTTGGAAAGTGAAACAACAATATGGTAAATAAACGCATACATTTGCTGAGTTGAGCTTGTAATTTTGAAAGTAGACGTATTTTTTTGGTAATTGGGTGAAAACTCAAACATTTTTTGGTATTTTCCGAACGAAAAAAGAATATCATGCTTGTCATCTCTCCAAGGAAGTATCATACCTTATCAAAACGCAGATGTAATACAGCGAACTTTCCTGATCCCTGATTTCTCATCTCCTCTCTTCCGTCTTTCACATGTAAGTTCCCCATTGCTTGACTTTCCGTAACAGGGTAACGAAGGTGACTTACAAGGGTCTCAGCCAATTTCCTGATATGAGGAACAAAAGCTAGTGCTTCAAAGTTGACTTTACACCGCAAGCGCTGGATGTTTGGTGGGAGATTGTTAAAGGTTAAACGGTGAGAGAACGGCGAAATAGCGGCAATTCCAAATCTGCACCAATGGAAACTGTCTCATGTCGCTGTTTCTTTATCTAATATTTTGCTAGGAATATACTTATTGAGCACAGATGTAAAAGTTCCAGCTCTAATTAAATGGCAAGGAAATACTTAAAAAATTAACTTCAAATTATAGTCACGCACTGGCAATTTGGGTTAGCAGCAAGGAGCATGAATGGTACACTTCAGTTACAAAAGAAAGAGGTTGAAAAGGGCAGCCCAGTCCATGAAGCTCCCGTTATGTACGGGGTCCCCTGGGAAGGGTTAACTACTTCGGGTGTAAGGTACGCAGCCTTACCTTGCAATTTTTGCAAGAGGCCGTTTGCACAACTAGAACCCATGACCTCCAGGTCACACGGTGACAACTTAACCGCAGTGCCAAGGGTCCCTTTCTCACACAAGAAAGGTTATACTAGAAAAATTATCAGTTGCTGGTCAGTGCGGTCAAATGTAACCAGGTTGTGATCTGGTGTGGACTACTTCCAAAGAAAATTAACTCAAGAGATTCAACAAATGTAAGTGCTTGAAATTGCTACTCTTTAATGGCGAGATTTGAGATTTGGTAAATTAATTTCACTTGAAGCATTTCAATCTAGGTTTCCATCATTTTTTTTTTAAATCAGTACATCCATTTTCTGGTCTTTCATGGTACTCTCTCTGTATACCTCATCATGTTTCTCACTTCCCTTGCTTCATTTATTCTTGCATACATGTTTTCGCTTTCCCTCTGTAAATGGCTATTTTCCAAATGCAGTAGATCCTAAAGAAATCCAACTTCCCCATGAATTTCTTTGAAATACGACAGCTCATAGTGCCTGAAATTCAATGGATGTTGTTTATGGAGCTTCCAACTATTATGCAAGTTAAGCCAACGAGAAGCACTGAATTCACCCAAAAGATTTCTGAGCTATTTTTTAGAGCTGATGTTCCAACATATGAAGGTACTATGCATTGAACTGTACATTCAGCAGGCATTTACCTAATATCCTACTGTATAATGTCAAACCAAGTTCCAAATTTCCCTTTTACTTGATTTGACCTTATCATTCCATAAATCGCCAAATGGATCTAATATATGCCTTCCAAGTTAAAAACTCGCATTCTTCTAAGGTGATCAAAGTATCTACATATATTACACATGCGGATGGCATTAGCAAATAAAATTATTGTAGGTGAGTGCCCTCAGCAAAGTAACAAACCACGTGCTCCAGTTAAATGAACATAAAACAAGAAGCAATCAGGAAGGAGGGATTTCAATGAAAAGGAGTAGAACTCCAGCATTCTTACGATTATAGAATCATCTAATTAAGTGTTTTATCAACGAATAAATGCATTAGGTAAGAGCCAATTAAATGTTGAGACATCCATTCCAATCCCGGAAATCTGACACACTGACCTCTGTAGAATAGGCAAGACATTTTCCAGATACCAGTTAGCTGAAGCATGAACAGGTGCCATCTTAATTCTGGTATCTCGAATCCCTGTAGCATAATATTCCCTTGTGCTCCAAGAATATTTGCCAGGAAGCTCTTTCACTATTGAAATGTCACCTTCTAATACACTGATGAAGTGATCCACATCAAATATGTCTGAAAATGAACTTAAAAAATGAAACACAAATCAATCATGCCTCTGTTCAAATATGCAAGACCAGAGGAAATAGTACATGGCCCGACAGATTAGATCGGCAAGTACCTCGTATCTTGCCACACAGGATTGACTTCAAGGTGTGGAATCACCAGTGTGGAATTTAATATTTTGGCAACGGCAACTGCATCACAGATCTTTAAGCGGAACAAAAAGAGTAAGGGGCAAACAATGTCATTGATAATGTGAAATTAGCATCCATACAAGAATATAACAACACTGATCACACATGCACATCCTTGCCGCTAATTTTACAGAAAGCAAACACATCAAACAACAAAAAAAGAACCTACCCCCATCCTCTGCTGGTTCAAGCCTCCATCAAGAAAAACCTGGATGTAACCCAGAGATTTCCCTGACAGCGCTGTCCAGAGAAACCACGAATTCATATTATATCAGAAGGACATCCTTTATTCAAAACCAATCACCAATTACTTTCGTAATAAAGGAAGCATACAAGGTAAGAAGAGAAAAGAACACAATGCTAGACAAAAGATTCCGAAGCTGTAGCTTGTAGCACTCACGGGGATCATCTGTAGGCGACCCAATACAGGGCTTCCATCCTTGATCAGGCAATGGAGACCATAGATCCAACTGTTGCCTGAAGGGCTAAAATAGAAAGAAAAAAAAAAGATCGAATGACAGACCAATATTATTTTCATTTCAATAATTATGCTAAGAATGCCACTAACTCACGATTTGCCGCTGTATGGCGGCCTTTAGCAGAGGCAAATGTCTGGGTTTCGGAGCATTCCATTCCTGCATGCAACAGTTCCTCCAATTACTGCATATGCATACGCATAGCACTTCGTAAAAGTTGGGTTAGCCGAAAAATTTTAAACATAAAACACAAAATTCATTTGCGCAACACCAAAAAATGGATGAAGAAGACATTAACTATAAAAAGTAGCGTAGATGAATCCAAAACACTTTCTTTTCGTACTACCTATCCAGCATAATCTTCTAGACACGCTTTTCAAAACCACACGCGGCATGTTCCCCGCAACGTTCAACAGGAATTAGTGACTTGATAATCATTGTTCGCTTCCAGAACTTACGCATGAAAATTCACTGAAGATCACCGAAGCGGTCAGGCATCGATTCAAAAAACCATCGCACTGATCCTCGGGAAACGCAAAAATCCTCATCAAAAATCACGCCAAGCGACGGCCGAAAACCCCTAGCGACAGGGGAGTATCACGGAGAGCGAAGGAACTTACGGAGAACATGGACGGCGAAGCCCGGCCCAGCGGCCTGAACAGGCCGGGGAAGAAGACCGGAAGCAGGACGGCGACGAGCCCGGCGAGCGCCGCCTTCCGGGACTGGTACGGGTGAGAGTGGTGCGGACCGAGCCTCATGTCGACGAACCCGCCGTCCCACGAATGCGAGGGAAAGCCTCTCCTCCGGCGGCGGCGGCGGCGGCGGCGGCGAAGCTTCTCGGACCGTTGCGGCGAGGTGGGGTGGGGTTCTTCGGGGGATTCCCAAGATCGAGGAAGAGGATGTCGCTCCGGAAGCGTCGGCGATCTTCGGAGTTAAGCGAGAGCGAGAGAGAGAAAGAGTGTGGGGGGAAGTGAGACGTGCTAATGCAGGTTCTGTTATCGCCTGTGAACACGCGGGGGGCAAATGAAAGCATCAGGGGGCGGAAGAAGATGACACGTGCTCTGCACGTGCTATGAGGAATAATGTATATATTATGCTTTGGCCTAATTCCAAAAACAAAAGCACCAACTTTAGGTTGAGGGACAATTCTGGCCCGAACTTCTTTTTGTCCCGTAAAAAAAGCACCAACTTTAGATCGAATGACAATTTTAGCCCTAATTTTTTTTTTGTCTCATAAAAAAATCATCAACTTTCATCATGATCCAAAATCTAGCTCCCCATTGACTTTCACCGTTGTTTGAGAAAGAAGATTATGATGGTGAGCTTGGCGAATCTCGTCCATAGCATCTATCGACAAGCGATGGTCAGCTTCGGATTACGTTTGGCTAGAGAGATTCAATCTGGAGATATTTTATCTTCTCGGTGAAGTAAAGAAAACAAACAGTTTCATCGTTATTCTTCAAATTGTGGCTCAGAGAATAAGACAATGAATATTGCTTTAATTCCAGTTAGCAAGCCACGTGGATTTATTGTTAAGGTGGAATAGTCAAGTTAGATAATCAATGGTTCTAAGTCAATGGGGGCTAGATTTGGGATTTAAGTGAAAGTTGATACTTTTTTACAAGACAAAAAAAAGTTGGGCCCAGAATTGTCATTGGATCTAAAGTTGGTACTTTTTTACGGGACAAAAAAAAGTTCAGACGAAAATTGTCTTTCGACCTAAAGTTAGTGCTTTTTTATGGGACAAAAAAAAGTTCGGGCCAGAATTGTCCCTCGACCTAAAATTGGTGTTTTTTTTTTGAATTAACCCTATTATGCTTTTTTTCCTTGTTACCGTAATTCTTATTTTTTGGTTTTTGGTATGCCATGAGTTTTGTTTGATAACACTCGTAGTGGAAATGGAATAGTGATTGCTATTCGAAGATTAAGGAGGAAAGTCATATTAATGAATATAATGTGATTGTTTTGGGATTTAAGGATGTAAGTCATATAAATTGATGACAATTTATGTTTAAAAATTTAGATGAAATGACTTGATTGTATTTTCCCTCAAAAGTTCAATATATTGGTTCAATTAAAACATTTAAGATTCGATTGCACAACTCCCTAAACGTTTGTAAAAAAGACCAAAAGTTGAGCATTTTCAAGTTATGACTTTGTTCGATTTCAAAGTTTGAAAGGTATAGAAATGAAACTCAATGATGAGATGTTAATGTCATTTTTGGATCTTTTATCATTTTTGGATCTTTAAAAGATTCATAAAATACCAGATGGTGCAATTAATAACTAGTCATAGTAGGATTTGACTATATTGAACCCATACTCAATAACAAAGCAGGGCTCATATTAGAGGTGGGAATAGAATCTGTTCAATGCAGGAATCAACCAAATTAGGCTTGATCGATTCGGTTCCTAGCAGGTTCTAAGGGACAATTAACCTAGAAAGAATTTGAATTTGGTTCCCAGTTTCAAGGCCGGATCGCCGTTTGTCCAACCAAGACAGTTCCCGGATTGGACGGATTTTGAACTGGTTTTGAAGGCCCTTTTGGAAAGCGAAAAAAGTACTTACACCCATCAAATTTGAACCATGACTTTCAATAGGATCAAATAGCCACGTAACTAGTTCACCGAGAAACGTTTGTATAACGTAATGGTAAAACTATATGTTTTATTAAATAAATTTAGATTTTTACCCAAAACATAAGAATGGACCAATTCTTGAATAGAACCGAAAACTAACCTGGAACCGACAGTTCCATAATTGATTGGTCCGTTCCCGATTCCAATTTTTTGGAAATGGAATTCACAAGACTGATTCCCCATTGACCCAGGAACGAGTGCACCTAGAACCAATCACCCCCGCCTCAAACAGACTATCAGCAAATCCGTCTTCCTTCTGCAGAAATCTCTAGGACTGACAAAGGATGGAGTCAAATAGAACCCCTCAAATTCCTTCTTGATGTTCAAAATAAATTAGAAAATGTAGAGTCAAAAGGAAAAATCATTGCATATCACATTAGCTTTTCCATACCAAATGGCACACTATTCGTTTTCTGTTCAGGACTCGAGCCCGTGTCGGAGCTTTTCTTAAGAAAAAGCACGAGGGAGCGAACCATAAACCGGTTTTGAACAGCTAGTACAAAAAAATGCAGCATCAGCATTCTCGGTTTTGTCAATTTTTGGACTAAAGCACAATTGACTTAATGAGCCATCGGACTATTCACAGCATGGCAAATCAGCACTTTCCTAGCGACATTCTAAATATAAAAATTCTTGATGAGTAACACGAGAGGGACACATTTATTTCCCAATTTCTTCATTCGCTTGTTTCACAAATGAAGAACCTCAGAGATGTTTCCGCTGAGTTCCTCGCTTTCGGATGGAGGCGTGAGCCGCAGCCTCTTAGCATCTGGCTGCCCGTCCAGATCTTCCACCTGCCTGCTTTGGGTCTTCGCCACATCATCAGGAGCTATCGCGTTCTCCATTATATTCGCAATTTTGGTATCTTGAGTATATGGATCGAGCTCAACATCGCTCTCCCCATGCAACATGGTAATGGTTGTCCCGGAATTGTGTTGCAATGACATGATTAAGTTGTCCTGCAATGCGAAATTCACATGCTCGTCGCCATCATCACTCATTGCATCAAGGTTCTGGGAATCCGCAATTACATTCTCTGGCATGTCCCCAGAAGAGGCAAGGCCATCTGCACAAAGCTCCAACTTTTCCATGGGAAGAGATTGCAGACCTTCTGCTTTGAGTTCTTGACTCAGACTTGCATCCTTTCTGGCCAGATTGTTACCATTGCTTTCAATAATATCTATGTCCTGTGAATCATCTAGAGAGTACATGGATCTTTCTGAGTCATCGTGACATTCATGCTCTCCTTGTGCTGATATTCCTGGTCTCCATAAGTTCTCAGGTCTGACTCCTTCAGATGTACAAGAAACACCGGCGGCTTCATGCGATACTCTGTTAATCTCTCCGAAATCTGACTCCCCTGAAGGTGCATAAGGCGCATAAGCAAATTGGGTACCGATCTCTGCATCTGCTGGCTGGAAATAACGATAGTACAGAAGTTAGTAACAATCAGTGACAACGAGAATAATGTGAAGCATAGATACAGGTGTCCATCCACCTTTCCATAACAAGATGATAGAGAAGAAAGTAGATAGGTAGTGTTACCATAGAATATGGGAATGGAGTACAGAGATAGACTGGTCACATATATAGCTAGGGGTAACCGACCACAACTGTAAACTACCTGAGTTTGGCAAGATGTTTGTCGATCTTGAGTAGCTTAAATATTGATTACTCGACCTCCGGCTCAAAACTACTTGGATCAAGCAAAGCCTATTCGAGCAGTTAAATTTTTGTATGCAGTACATACATGTCATGTTATTCTTCAACTTATCGTCCAACATTCATGTAATCGACCCATCTTAGTGGGGTAAGGAATACTTTGTCAGTGTTGTTGCATTATATTTCCAGAGTATAAACAGGAGCTCAAACTAGACTTTTATCATCAAAATTTAACTGAATCAAGCTTAACAAATTTTATCGAGTTAATCTTGAGCTTGAAGAGAAAAAGCTCAACCAAGCCGAAGTCAAGTGATGGAGTCAATGGAGACTCGAATAATAGAGTTCCAACATTATTTGTCTCGACCCGATGGCTTGATTACATCTAAAGTTATAATAAGAGACTATCAGATCTTCTGCAATAGAATGAGGAGAATTGTCAATTTCCACAAAAGCAATCATAGTAATTTATGGGGAACTTCTATTAGTTCTATAGTCATGAATGCTGTCTTAGCTGACACCTAGAATGCTGCCAAAACCAGTAACATTACCAGTTTCCCCAGCAAGAAAGCTGGCTATCATTTCGATGACCTTTCCAAAGCATCGGTAAAGAATAAGATAGCCATCTACCCTTGAAAAGATTTTTGAAAGCAGTATACTTTAACAAGTATCTCAAACCTGCAAAAAGATTCTAATTGTAAGGGGAATTTATTACCTCTACTGCTGATAGAGGACCATTAAGAAAATACGCTGGCTGGTCAAAAGAAAGACATCTTCCAAGAAATGAACCAGTAGCAGCTCCTGGTTCAAAAAGCTCCCTCAGGACCAGGCCCGACTCATTAAGGCCTTGAGAATTCCTCATGGAAGGATCAGATAACAAACTGATTTCAATACCCTTGTCAACTTGGGCGACCGAATCACAAGGTGCCACAGGACTATGTTTATCTGTAGAGTTTACACATTTGTTTTCATTCCTAACTTCTAGAATTCTAGAGGACTGATTTTCTTCAGTACAGTCCGCTGAAGAAGCATTATGGGGCCGAAAATCAAGGAGTTCATATATCAATTTCTGAATAACTGTACGCTTGAGAGAAGCCTCAACTGGTAGAAACCAATCCGTGCTAAGCTGCAAAAATTGAAGAGCCGGGATCAGTAAATAAATCATCAACTAAAAAGACAGAGATAACAAGGATCATGCCAAAAGCAGAGAAAACCAACGAATGTTTTTCCTAGAGCAGAGACAAAGAGAACATTTCCCACTTAAGAATACTCAGTAAAAGAGACGAGCTAGTACTGATATTCTCTCTAAAATTTATCACTTGAGTTCTGCCTATTTCAACACTATGTCTCGTATATCTTCAGGCTATTATCTATCACATCCAGAAACACATCATTCCATCTTGATAGATGCCAGTCTAACTTTGACCAAAAAGAGCAGCAGATCCTTCTATTCAGGAACCAAAATAATTTTCGACATTCAGAGAAATTATAGGAAGTGTAACTCCAAGGGATTGCAATATCAAGCATCAAACTGTAAACAAACAAGATGTAGAAAGCCACGCAATATCCAAAAGAATGAATAGCCACAGAAGATGCAAACAAGCTATTTATTTTTGTAGCAAAATCCAAAGCAACAGACTATGCTTCAGAGGACT